TTGTCTTATGTTAAACATATTAACGAGGGCATTTAACTATTAAATTTGTGTAGATTGCTACATCTGCATCCAATTTGACCTTAGTACCTCGACATGTCATTTGGAAAGTTGCTAGGGTAAATAAACAAGGTAGCATTGATAACGAAGAAGTTAAAAAAATGGTCAATGAATTTGTAAGTACTTAATACTAATGTGTTAGTATTGGACAAATACGTTAACTTTTATTTTGAATTCTCCTTCCTAATGGTTTTTTGTTATGTTTATTGTAGGAAACCCTTTCACAGGTCACTCCAGACGCTGAGACTGAATCAACAGCCCAAAATGACATACTCTCTCAAGCACTTGGTGTAAGAGAGCATCTAGGTCGCGTGAGGGCTGTAGGTTTTGGGGTGACTCAAAAATCTGCATTTGGGCCAGCTACATGTCCACATCCTTCATCTACCGAGTGGCAAAACATGAAGCATTGGATAGCGCATTTGACCAATGTAGTGACACAGTTGACAGGGGGTCAGAGACTACCCTCATTCATGTCAAGTCAGATGTCATTCAACCCCACTCATTCCCCACCACCATGTATGCCACCCCCTTTCAATATTGCTCCTCAAATGCAACCTATGGCCGATATTGGTCCCCAAACGCATGTAGATGCACCTTCTACCAGCCATAGAGGCAGTTGCACACCAATTGCATCTGTTGAGATTCTAGAGGTATTTAAACTACAGTAAATCATCATTTACCTTTTAATGTTTACTGCTTTTGATTTAATTTTTGTGTAATATAAAAACTTTCATTTGTAGGGTGATCATGACTGTATGCTATACTTGAACAAACATTTTCGCCTGGTTGCAAGAGGTAGAGTATATCATACAATGGCTGGGGACTCCTTACATAATATGGCTCTTCCTCCAGAGCATGATAAGGTTTCTATAGTTCTTACATAATATGGCTCTGCACTGCCTGTCCCAAATGAACAAGTAAACCTGTATTCCTTGAGAGATGTCATTGGTACTTATGTTGCTTGGCCATTGTCCCTAATCACTTTAAGACCCAAGGTATGTAAACGTGTTTCTTTATAGTTCCTGTTGCTAGATGTTAAAATTAAAAGGTTTGTTCTTTTCAAGTTGCCCCTTCATCAGGTAAAGGGTTAGGGAAAGAGACAAGATACTCAAAAGAGTCAATTGTTGGTCCATCCAATAAAGGTAACACTGATTGTGTGTCATCAGAGATTTTGAAGTTGGCAAAAGCCCAAGGTGTTGCATGCTTGAATATGATGAAGTTGTTTGTGAGAAGTGATCAAGTCATTGATACAGCTACAATTCAACTGATAAGTGAGCACTGGGGTAAAGAGTTTTGTGACATTGTAGGGAAGGAAAACATCATAGAGGTCATACGTCGACATTGGTTGAGTGCCTCTAGCATTAACCTTTACATACGGTACATTAATTTTCAAATTATATAATTCATAGTCAATTTATAACTTTTATAACCTTTATTTAATGATGTTCAATTCTACTTTTGCAAAACAAGATATTTGTATGAAACTTATTTGCATGGGACAATGGCAAATAGATTCTCATTTATATCTCCGTATGAAATGGATGAAGCGCTCAATCCAAAGCTGAAATGTTGAAGCGTCATATGGGTGAAGATCACTTGATATTTGCACCTTATAATGTTGGGTAAGTCAATCTCAGTGAGACTCTACTTTATGTTTTATAATTTAGCATATAACTTTTAACTTAGTAATCTTAAAATGATATTTGTACTCGTGGTAGGCAACATTGGGTCTTGGTTGCCATCAATACTGCTAACGAGACTATCTATTATATGGACCCTCTACGAAAGTAGCTGAAGATGAGAACACACATGTAGAACCTATTTAATAAGTAAGCATTCATTTATGTCAACCAACTATGATTAATGTTAAGTGGTTCAAATATATCTAATTTCTTTGGTTCACGACTCTTAGTGCTCTTATCACGTATCGAGCAGAGAGGGGAGTGCAGCCCTCTAGTACAAAGATGAGTCAAACAAAATGGGTCACTGTACAGGTAAGACTATATCATATCTCATGTTTTTAATTTTCACCTAAATCGTAATTGCACTATATATCATTCTTAGTTAATGCTGTTTTATTTGATTTTTATCTTCCACAACAGTGTCCCAAGCAAACAAATAATGATGACTGTGGATATTATGTGTGTCTATTCATTGGAGATGCTTTGCACCATGGACAAATTGTAATCCCAGTAAATGTAATAATCTTACACATTCCAATTCATTTGCCATATGCTTATTATTTCACTTAATTAATTAAGCTTTGTTTTCTCCGTCCTTGTATTTCAGTACTTTTCAGAGGTGCAGATGCCAACTTTTCTTGACAACAAAAATTTATCAATTGCAAAAGGAGTAGTGTTCATATATGTACTATAGATATTTAAAGGTCACATTAAGCACAATAGATTATTAGTGTTCTTTTACAATATTTAGATAATTTTCTCTAAAGGCTAGGCAAAATGTGTAAATATGAGACTCTGATTGATTGTAATCTGTACATGTGAGTTGTAATTGAATAATACAATATGCAATTGCTCTAAAATTCTGGTATATCAAAGTCTATTAGAATTTTATATTCTGTTTGAATTGGTTCTGAATACTATATAATTGACCAGGTGTGCTAAAAAAAGATTTTATGCTAGTTTTATTAAAATATTTAAAAATATTTCCTAACTTTGGAGAGCGGTTCAAGTTGAACCGCTTTAAGAAGTTCACTTTGGAGAACGGTTAAAGGGGAACCGCTCTCCAAAATGTACTTCTGAGAGCAGTTCAATTATAACCGCTCTCATAAGTTTGAGATAAGAGAGCGGTTAACCTGTCAACCGCTCTCTTTAGTCTAACTTGTGAGAGCAGTTCAGTCTTAACCGCTCTCCAAAGTACTATATTTTGTAGAGCAGTTACGCGCTTAATCATTCTCTTTGGTGAGCTTCTGAGAGCGGTTAACCGGTAACCGCTCTCCAAAATATACATTTGAGAGTAGTTATGCTCTCTTTAGTCTAACTTGTGAGAGCGATTCAATCTTAACCGCTCTCTAAAGTACTATATTTTGTAGAACAGTTACGCGCTTAACCTCTCTCTTTGGTGAACTTCTGAGAGCGGTTAACTGCGTAACCGCTCTCCAAAATATACATTTGAAAGCGGTTAAATAACTGCTCTCAAAAAATGAAGACATTGGATAGCACGTGATTTTAAAGTGCCACTAACCACTCTCTTAATTCAAGCGGAATCGCTCTTACATCTTATTTTTAGTGTAGTGAATATTAATAACATTAATGTATTGAATTAAATAAAATTTTATAATTTTTAAATAAAATATTATTATATATAAATTTTATTATATACACTGGTGCATTAATTAAATTTAACAATATATTTTTTACTATGATGACTGAACTCACAGGTACTTTATGCTAATTGAATACTCCATTGTTATTTCAGAAGAAAGTCACCGGTGTATGATTGTATAAAGTATTAAATTTTAATAGAATATTATATAATATAAAACCTATTAGGCAGACATTGCTAGAAAATTTAAAAACCATATACCAACTGTAAGAAATTATTAGTTTATAGTATTACTTTTATTAAAATAATCGTTGTCTAAAGAAATTATCAATCTCATTATGAAATTTCATTATCCTTTAAGTGCCACTTTCATTTCCATGCATCAATTACAATAAGAATAGGTATTCTCAAGCTAAAATTTAATATGACAATGTCAAGCTCCAAATTTTTGTTTATCCCTTTTTTTTTTACAAATATTTAAGAGGCTTTACCTGTATACACAATCACCTCAAATGGTAAGCTTATATTTAGTAATTATTTACAAAAATTGGCATTATATATATATATATATATATATATATATATATATTAAAGACTGACTGTTATATGGGTCCATGGCACATTTAAAGGAATGCATTAATTCTATTAGTCAGTCAAATTAGCATGGTTAATAGATTAAAAGAATTAAATCATTTTTCAAAAGCGAAAATTATAATATAATTCATTTCTCCCAAAAAAAATAAATTAAAAGGATTTTTGGATACATTAATTAATTGTTATGATAAGATAAAGAGCAAAAAGTTAAGTTTGAATTGTTGACTATTCTTTTTTTTTTTTTTGGAGTGTTTACTGACTAATGAATTTGATCGAATAAACCTATAGTCATAGTCAGCTAACCATATATTTGTTTGCCATGAGTTTGCAAACCATATGAAATTAAAAAATTTATACATTATACTTGTTTTTCCTCCCCTGGCCATGATGTAATTGAATGATTTTATGGAAGAAATGGCTACGAATACAATGCAATGTTACGAAGGCATGGACTAAAAATAAACTCATAATTTAGGGTAAATTATGGGTGGTTGAATTCCAAATGCAACACAAATTAAATTTTTATCATTAGTTGAAGTATATTAATGAATGATACATAAAAAATGATGCGGTACAAATGATAAAGAGTTTGATTTTCTTGAAGTTTCACCAAATATACAGTAAAGGAAACAAAAGCATTGTTTTTTTCACTTAAATGGTTTTACCAAACTCTACTTAAATTAGTCAAGGTCTAATGTGATCTTTTAGATATTGATGATTATTTTAAAAACAAATCATGTATACATATTATTATTAGGTGTGTCATATTCCATAGGACAATAAATTAAATAAGTAATAATCTATAGCATATTACAAGAAATTTCTATCATGTATCTTGAAGTTTGACATTTCAAGGTCTTTTGAACTCCTTTTCCCACACAATTAAATTTGTTGCTATGTCAAGGCTATGTGATACATCCACCCTAGATGTATTTCCTTTTATTGAAGATGCAATTTCTTTTTCCTCTTAATAAATACCTTCTCTTCAAAGTCACATAAACCCCCAAAAAAAAGTTCTTAAGAAGTACCCAATATCTTCTTTGGAGAATATTTCTTTGATAATAATGTCAGAACAATTTGTCAGAGATGTTGAGAGCAAAAAGCTCAAGCACAAGATTGATGAGTCACCTGCCATGGATGCAGTAGATTCAGAGTTGTTGCTGTCTCTAAGTCTTGGAAATAACAAAGGTGAATCCTCATCTAAGTTCACAAGCAAATCCTTGATTGCCCATGAGGGCTCATCATCAAGTTTTGCTCCAAAACTTGTGGAAAACAATAATCATCAATTGTTCAAGCCTAAGCAACGCCAATTCTCATGCAAATTTTGCAATAAGAAATTTCCAAGTTCTCAAGCTTTGGGTGGACACCAAAATGCTCATAGGCGTGAAAGAGTTCTCTCAAGGATGGATAAAGAATTTGAAATGGGAACTTTTGGACTCGGTGCTCATTTTTGTCCATACTCAACCATTGCACATCAACATCACCCCCTTGGTGGTTCACCATCCCTTTATCATGGGACTCACATGCACCCTATGCCTCATATGTCATGGCCTCATTTTGTACCTAGCTATGGTAACCAAGGGTTGCATAAGACTTCCATCCCAAGGCACCAATTTGGGATGACCAACCCTTGGGGTGTGCCTACTAAAACTCCACATGCTCAAACTTCACAAAATTTGTACTTAAGGGATGTGGTTGATTCTCAACATAACCAAGTTCCTTCACTTGATGCATCTAATAGGGCTACCATGGCTCATTCTGGCATTGGTAACCTTTTGGGAAATCAATATACCGGGAACCATCAATTGACATCATCAAGGTCAAATTGCAACAACATGCAATTTCAGTAATAACCAGGCACCAGACACATTTGTTACAGCTGAAATTTAAAATTATGTTTAATTCCTATTCCATTGCTAGGTCTAGTCCAATATAATTAATGTTTTCTCTATAGTCCTCGTTGCTTCCATTTGTCATTTGATGTTGCTAGTTTGCTATCTTTATTACTTATTATGTATTTTTATTTTCTGTTTACATTATCTATTAGATTATGGTATTCGTTATTGTTTACATAAAATTTATTGTCTATTTTAATTTATGGTGATTTTCATCGTGAATTGAATTTCAATGCGATGCTGGTGTAGCATCAATGGCGATTGGATTCAATTTTTCAATGAGTCGTTGTTGTTTCAAATGTGAAATCTATTAAGAGCACTTTAGGACAAAGAATCTATCTAAGTATTTATTCAATAAAAAATATTAAGGTATAAAGAATTTATTTTAATTAATTTCTCTGTGAATTTTGTTAATTAATTAAACCCTAAACCCTTCAAATAACTCCTAAACAAGCACTTAAGCTAATTCCCAAGAAAATTTTATTCTTTCACCACTTCTTGAATAATGGATGGGGAAAGAAAAGAAAAAACCAGTGAGAACTGCAGCGTAAAAAAAAAAATATTAACAACACACTCTAACATATTTTTTTAAAAAATATTTTTAGTTATTAACTAAAATTTATTAAATAAGAAAAAAATTGAGTCTCAATTTTAATTTAATAATTTTCACTTCTAATTTAATTACTTTTATTTATTCTTTTATAATTTTTAGTAAATTTTAGTCAATAATTAATAATATGTTAAAAACTATGTTAGTAGCACCTTATTAAAAAAGAAAACAACCAAACTTGAATTTTCTTGTATGTGGGTGTGCGCATGTGTTTACATTGCATCCATACTTAGAATCGATTCATTTATTTGAGAGTCAATTTTGTTTAATATACTCTAATTAATTATTTTTTATAAATATTAAATTTTATTAATTCAATTATTAAATTAAAGTTTAGACACAATAAGAGTATAAAATTGGAAATTGAAAAATATTTTTTTAATTAATTTTATGACTACACTTGTCAAATCTTGGTTAAAAAAATCATAGACAAAAAAAAATGTTAGTCGTTAAGGTTAATGTTCTTGTTGGTATATTTTTAATCTAATAGAATTAGATTTGTTAATATAAACTTTACAGGTCTAACTTTGATATAGCTATGGTGCAACTCTTTAGAGTTTGTATAAATTTATTATTTGCAATTGTTATATGAAACCGATTACAATGCTATGTTCTTAACTCTGTAATTCACAAAATGAAACCCGTGCCATTATTTGGCACCATTCTTGTTTGTTAAATCATGTTAAGGCATTATTGCATGAGATACTCTCAAAAGTATTCATTTGACTTCCAGAGTTTTCTTTAATTAAATGTACATGCATTTTAAATTTGATCTTGTTAAATATAAATATATTAGTTAAAATTTAATAAATAAAAAGTTTTTATTAAAAATTACATTAAATTAGTGTATGAAATCTATTAAAAATTATAGTCAAAGTGTATTAATAATTTTTTAAATTGGTGTCCTTGCAATGTTAATTAGTATTTGCCTTTTAAAATAGAAACTTAGTCCTGTCTATTTTAAGACTTTTCAAATATAATAAAAAAAGTTTTTTTTTTTTTTGGGGGTAAAGGAAAATATTGTTTCTCGAAATTGTTACAAGCCCAGCAGATAACTTTAGGAGCCCACTTGGATGCGTGTCCTTCAATTTTGGTTGGATTTTTAATTCGGTAATGAAACTTGTGGGCAAAGAAAATAAATATTTTTAAAATATAAAATAAAAGTAAAATAGTGATATTTTCATCTTTAACTAAAAAGGATGACAAAGCGTATAAAATATCCGTATCCTGTCTCTGGCATAAAAATAGAAATGCAATGTAGTATTTCAAATACTTTTAATATTATTTTTAATTAAAATTAAAAAATTACCTAGATAACCTTTATAATAATTACTAATTATTGTAACAAATTTTTTATTAAAATGTCATTATGAAAAGAATTAGAATGCAATTGAAAATTAATTAAATATTTGCACGAGATACCACTACCACCGCATATAGATTTTTGACAGAAAAATAATGCTTAATATTTTTAAGTAACAAATTTTTGAAATAATTTAAAATTAAATGGTATAAAATGAAAGAGTATAGCAAGGAGACACTCCATACATCTCTTTTAAATAATAACATTCTCCCTTAATTATTAAGCATTTTTTTGAAAATTTATCTTTCAATTAAAGAGACAAGATAAAAAAAAATACAAAGAGACATGTAAATTGATTACCTCAAACAGGGGGTTTAATATTAAGCATTTTTTTTGGTTCAACTGTAACAAATGTATTATATTTCAGAGGCTCAAAGGCGTTTGAAAGAAACTTTTCTCTTATAATTTTGCAACTGTAAATGCAAAATGTTAAAGTCAATCTTCCAAAATTATAAAATCAACGGTGTTTATCATACCTCTTGCTGTTCATTCAACTTAAGACGGAGAAGCCCAACCACGAAAAATAGAGAGAAATATTATATATACATAATAAAACTCTTCTGCAAATATTTAATAAAGTTATATTATTAAACAACATTTTTTCACTTTTTAAATCATTAAAACTTGCGTTTTAATTCTTTAATTAAAATAAGAATTTTACATCAGTATCTCACGTTAACCTTTAATACCAAATTTTAATGTATAAATTACTGATCTAAAAATCTAATTTAATTAAAAATAATATAAAAATATACCTATAACGCTGGTTGTTGTTTGACAGAGTCATGTTTATCCTCCTCGCTCATCAAATTCAAAGAAAATCAGAGTCAACCAAGTAGCATAAAATATTGATCCAACCCAAAATTGATTTTCATTTCAGTCAAGGCATTCAGTTATGATTCATCATGAATATGTAATTCCTGGATTCATAATAATTGTGGAATCATTTGTGTTAAGATTTTGAACATGCCTGCGGTTCTTCCACGGTCGTTATTGTGGATGGCCATGTAGGTCTCTCCATGGACAAATCATAAAATCTCCTGATTCATTCATTCAACTAGTGGGCATTTCCACTATATGATGTTTCTGAACAAAAATGAAAACTTAAAAGAGGATGCAGAGACAGTGAAATGTAGCAAAACAGACTTGGAACCATTATCTCAGTCACCTCCCTTGTCACTGACTATAGCAGTAATCATTGTCCCTCTTTACCTTAGCCCCGCCCGAATTCCTCAACATGTCAACAATGATTGGTTTCAATGACCACAACACCAAAGTAAAACAACAGAAAACTGTTTGGGTTATGCCTTATGCCAATGAATAATTTTAAGTATATTGATCGCAACTTCTTTGTATTAAATAATTATCTTCAAAAGAGAATTTGTGCTCTAGTGGCTGAAATTTGAGCTTGAGTTGCTGTATTCTTATAAATGCCACAGCCGAGAATCACATTCTTGACAAAAGTGATTAGAATAGGAATACTGATTTACAATCAAATATGAACGAGTACCGACGTGCTTGTATGATATTTATTTATGACAAATTTGTATGTGTACAAATGACCCCTTTCTACATACGGAAAGAAAACAAATGACTTCTTACCACACCTAACACATTGATAATCCTACCAACATGAATACAACGCAAAACTACATACAGTAACGTTTAGAAAAATGTGGATTCTGCTCATTTAAACGTGAACAGGAAATACCAGATGATCTCACTATCAGCTTTTGAGCACAGCACAGAATCAAGCTACACTGAGATGGATTTTGATTAGTCCTCAGTACACTAGTACATAATATCAGTTTCTAAAATGTAATTTAACACCCAAGTAATGACTTCGTGTGCTACTAATGAGAGCCTTGGGACCTTGGGGCCTGTTTGCTTCTCCTTTTGCAACAGAGTTAGACCATTTTGAGTTTTTCTTCACACAGTGAACTGGATACAAAACAGAGATTTCTGGATTTGAAAGCATGAAAGCTCCGTTAAGTTCTTCAAAAGCTCCTAGTCAGTCAGTCCAAATCTAAAGTTCATTATCAGTGAGAAGCACACAAGCTTCATGAATAACCTCTAAATCCTCAAAAGCTGGTTCTGATTCTCAATGCCTAAATCTTGGGTTGAATGTAGAAGGAAGTACTCTAAATAGAATTTTCTTGAGTAACAGAAATTACAATGAAACAAATGCTCTGAACAATGTAAGTAAGCTTAATAACAGGACACAACTAATTTATAAGAAACTAAGTTTTTATATACATGGTAATAACAAATACAACATTGATATTCATTAAGGCTATGTTTGAGAGTTAAGTTTATGAGGAAAAAGGAAGGGAGCAGAGGGATTAAGAGGGAATTAATCTTGTTTGGGAGTTGCTTAATTAAGAGGGAAAAGTTTTGAGGGTTTTTCTAAACCCTCTAAAAGCTTATTTTTTTAGTTTCCTCATTTTGGGAGTTTTCTCTCTCCCACTCTTTCATATTATTTTACAAATAAGATTTTTTTAACTGTTTTTTTAAATGTTAATTTTTCAAGTGATAATTTTTTTAAAAAAAATTTAAAAAATAAAAATATTAATTTTAAAATTATTTATATAAGTAAACCCCATAGTCACTCTCCCGTCTTAATATTAAACATCCAAACAAGGGAGGGGCTTAACCTCTTTCTCCCTCCTCCCTTCCCTTCTCCTCCTTCTCCCTTCAAACCTTTTCCTTTCCTCCCCCTCCAAACTCCTAAACAAAGCCTAAGTTTTTATATGCATTAAGCTATATAATGTACTCATACATTTACATAGCACTTCATTACTGCAAAACTAGTCATCGTAAATGGCCATTGCTGTGAAGTTGTCTGATTTTACAATGATAAAAGGAAGGCTTGAGTTGCAAAACACAGCCCAACAAGGAGAAGACCTTGTAACTATCTGGCAAAAGGCTAGTCAGCTCAAGATCACTGTCACTCAACTCAAAGCCTATAAATATCAAACTGCCTCTTTATGCGAAGGTACACTCATTCTCTCTTTCAAGCATTTTCCCATATTTTCAGTAGTTCTTGTTTGTTTAGCACCCAGAATCAATTCCATATACAGGACGAACATTCCAATATAAAACCTATGGTTTAAATTAATTTGACCAGGCATCTCAATCACGTTCAACACTTAACAATCAAAATATAATCGCAGCACCAAACACCAAACTTAACTTACTATCACTGATGATAGAAAAGGTTACTTCAAAACCAAAAAATTTAAGAAAACCGCTTAAAATAATAAAATTAGCAGTTAAGATTTAAGAAAACTTATGTGAATCTAATTTCAACTATAGCAAACACGCAACATTGTTCTCCACCTCAACAATAAGGCTTATAATCAACCCTAGAGGAAAAATTACAAAGTAAAATATACCAATCAAGAGACACTTAACCATATCTACAAAACCAACAAACTAAACAAACACAACAGTACCTAACAACAGCACTTTTAGGTTCTATCTTCAAAAACCCATAAGGCGCTTCCACCTCAGGATTGCAAAGGATGCTTCCTCGGCCTCCCTCGCTTCTTTGACCCCGAAGCAACCCCATTCGAAACCCCCATTTTAGCCACCCTGGCCGCCACCGGCGTTGCCTGCGCACTGGCCCCGCCATTTGCCGGCATCCAATTCGGCAACGAAGAAGAAGCCTGTGGCAGAGGCGGAGTCGCCCCCACCGCAGCCTCTTTCTCCGGCGAATCAAAACTCCCGGCAACAAACCCCATGGGGAAGAATCCCCAGCAGCAATAATAAGCGTCCTGGCCCGGCACCAGCGGCGGCAACGACGGCACCGCAACGCCGTGAAAGGACCTTTCACAATTCTGGCACCGCAAGCAACAACCCTCGTAAATCCTCGGGTACTCGTACAAACGGTAACAATAGGGACACGCAGTCCAGAAAGAAGAGTTTCTTTGCCGCGAATTCTCGTCCGCCGAAATCTCGTCTCTAGCGGAAGCGCTATTGCGATCGATGGGCCCAATCCCGGGCCCGGGCCCAGGCACTGGGCCGGTCCTGCGGACGGGTAATTTATCTTGCTGGACCCAGCTCGGGATGGACAAATCGACGGGGGAGAAGAAGGAGAGGCCTTTATCGTAGTTGGATTTTTTTATAGAGTCGGAGAGTAGAGCCCACGCGTCGGCGACGAGTTTGAAGGCGTGGTCGGCGAAGTAGAATCGGTTTTTGTCGGGGTGGAGGAGGAGGGCGAGGCGGCGGTACTGTTTTCTGATGAGTTCAAGGTTGTCGGAGCGGCGATCGACTTGGAGGACGGCGTACCAGTCGGGGTGGTTGTTGACGCGCTTGTCTGCGGCGAGTAGGACATCGACGATGGCGAGGATCTGGTCGGAACCTTCCAGAAGGGGTTCGGTTTCTTGAGCGAGGACGGCGAACTCTCTTGACCCCATGAGATCGCGGGTGTGTAAGAGTTTTTCTGCGATTCCTAGCAGACGCTCTGCCTCCGCGCGCGTCCCACTCTGCATCTTTTGCTGCGCGAGTGAGTGAGTTAGTGAGTGATGAGAGTGAGATTCCACGAAATGGATTGCAGATTCTGCGATGTTACTCGCCCGCATACTAACCAAAACGTTTTTTTTTTCCTTTCCCCGATCTTAATCCATTGATGTACCAATTTAATTTATGTTTGTCACCGTACCAATGTATGTGTCTGACAAATATTTCATAATAATTTCTAAATTTTTTTTAACGTGTTTAATAATTACAATATTTTATATTTAAATAAAAATTTAGTTTTTTATTATTATCCAATTCTTTTTTTTTTTTTGTCATCTTTATAAAATATTAATAACAAATAAATATATGTTATAAATTTATATTTTATTTTAAAAAATTCATATTAAATAGTTTTAAAAATAAATATATTGAAATATATAAATAATAGGTAAGTAAAATTTTATAGTAAATAATATTATATAAATAATTTATCGATTAACTCATTTAAAATAATATTTAATTTTTATAATTAAAATAAATTAATTAATAATTTGTTTTTTATAAATAGAACTAAAAATAATAGTTAAAATTGATTTTTTTATTTTAACAAAATTTTTGAATTTATAACTTATTTATTAAATAAGAAAATACAATGTGTTAAAATTAGGTAAAAATATAATATGATCATAATAAATAATTTATTGTATTATTTTATATTAATTAATTATTAAAATCACAAATTATATATATTTATTATCCTAATTTATAAAAATTATTTAATAAAGTTAAAATGTGATAAAAATAAGATACTTTTTTATTATATTATATATTTAACACAACATATTATGATGATAAAACAGATAACATTGTGTCAATTTTATTTAATGTTTAAAATTAACAAAGATAATAATAGCATGAGGTATAAATTATACAAAAATGATAAAACTATCTTTTATCTAAATTAATATATTTTTTAAAAATAATTCTTGATTTAATTTAATATTTTTAATATAATATATATAAACATGAAAAATTTAAAATTTTAAAAATTATACAAATAAAATTAAAATTAAAATTAAAATTAAAATATATTTCTAAGTCAATTTTTGACAGTTAAAATTTATTTGTACAAAATAAAATATTTTTAAAAATATTTATAAATTAGTAAAATATGTTTTATAAGACTATTTTTAAAAAATGTTTTTATAAATATAATATTCATATAATATATTTATAAAATAAATTAAAAGTGTGTTTTATAAATAATTAACATTTTATACAACAATAATAATAAAGAAGTTATGCGACGGGAGTCAGAAAAAAAATATATAATATTTTAATCTTCTTAACTTGTACTTTTTAAAATAATAATTTTTATTATAAAAATAGAATAGAATAACTTAAAATTACAAGTTATCATATTTCATAAGTTTAATAAATACTATAAGTATAATATAATAATATAATATATATATATATATATATATATATATATAAAATTTAGGAAGTAAACACTCTTGATAAAATAAAATAAAAATATAGCCTATCATATTTGTCTTATCTTACCAATCGAATAAAATATTAATGTTGTTGAAAATTACAGAAATAAATTTTTATTTTTAATTTATAAATAATATGTTTTTCAAAAGAATTACCTAAATTTTATCATTGCACGATTGGATTAGATTTTTTTAAGTAAAAGTAATACTTTAGTTTTTAATTTAATTTTTTTATTTTAATTTCCTATTTTTTAAATTTGATTTTATTTGCCAACTGTAACAACTTTTTGATCATTAAAATTTTAGTTTTTTTTTTGTTAATTGTGTCCATAATAAATAAAATAAAGTTTGAGAACAATTAATAATTCATTAGCTTTTTTGCCATGCCAAGCCCAACATATCCCATATAAATAATAATAAAAAAAAAAGTCTTACTGTAAAGACAAAACATATGGATGACTTTCACGAGCCACAATCTGAGGAAACTCCATGTAGTATTGCCTGCTAAATAGACAATATTAATATCAATGAATATGGACACAAATGGTTAATGAATGAGGGAGGGAAGCTTCAAAGAATGCCAAATTGAAGTGATAACAGGGAAGGTAGAAGAAAGAAGCAATAAAGGGGAAGCTTTTGTCATGTCATTATCTAAGTGATTTTACACGTGGTGCACATGTGCAATGCTTCTCAACCATCCAATTTAAATTTTTATTTTTGAATTTTAAGAATATTGCCTCCATTAAATGCAAATTTTGGCCCTCTTCTTTTTTTAGTTTTTTTTTTATTTTGAAATTATAAAAATATGTTTTTTTTTATAAAATTACAGGGAATAATAAGAAATTTTTAAAAATCACACATAAATGAAAGTTTTATTTAGAAACTATGCAATCTTTGGCGACATGCCATGATTGTAAAATTATAGAATAAATTATTTTGGATAACGAAATATATTTTTAGTTTAGATGAAGAAAAAAATTATCAAAAAATATATTATAATATTATATAAAAGAGTACGTATAAAAAATCTTAGTAAGAAGCGTTAGAATCTACATATATAATTAAAGTAAATAATAAATATTTTTTAATAATTATTTAAAAACTCAATGAATAATAAATAATAAGTTAATTTTATACTGAATTTAAATAATTAATAATAATAAATATATTTTTAGATTTTTAAATTTTATCTTACTTGCATATTAATAATAATTAATTAATAATAAATTTATACTTTAGACAAAACTTGCATATTATGACACGTGTTAATATTCTATTAATTTAATTTGTGACAAAGACAAAACTGTCCTTACATTAATGTTACAACATTTTTTGAATTTTATTAGTGACCGTGACAAAATTAGGTAAATATTAATACATGTAATTACTATTTAATTAAAATGATGTAGTAAAATACTTTTTTGCGAATGTTCAAATACTTTCTCCAAGATTAGTTTTCTTTATTTTGTGGAGAAAGAAATATACTTTTGTGCTGTTAGAGTTTTCTTAATCCTAACATTCTTGTGGCGGCACAGCGTTGTAGGTTTTCAAATTAGCTTCTCTTTAAGATTTCTTTGGAGTAAGGCACGATCAGGTGATGGACCAACTAAAACTAGAGAAACATTCACCCTAGGAAATGGATCTAATGGTTCGCAGCACGAAAAAAAGTTAAGATGGACCCCGAATCAGGCCTTGAGGATCAGACCACTAACATGCACGAAGAATACATTTTTGCAGTCCCTGCAAATCAGGTGTCTTCTATTCCTAAATCCCATATATGTATGTTTTATAAGAAAAAAGTCCTAGCTGCTAATAACATAAATCTGACTTTAAAATGATGATGAAATTATTAAATCAATGATGGAGGATTTAAATATTCCTCTAGATAATGAAGAAATTGAACCTGTTAAAAGTGATGGGGAGAATATGACCTAGAACTTGTGTCCAGAACTCAAGATTCCCTTAGAAGATTATGAATTATGGTGTAATCCATAGAAATTTACCCTAATTATCAAGCCTCTAGGTAAATCAATAAGTTTTAATTTTCTTAGCCAAAAATTAAAAACTATTTGGGGTAAAAATGAACATCTTAATATTCTAGACTTGAATAATGACTTTTTTCTTGTCAAATTTGATAATCTTGAGGATTATAAAATAGCTTTATTCGAGGGACCATGGCTTATTTTAGATCACTATCTACTAGTTCAGCGATTGAAGCCTTTATTTAGACCTAAGGAGTATAGCCCTAGAAAAATAGTTAGGATTCCAGATCTCCCTCTTGAACTATACAATGAAAAATTTCTTTGACAAGTTGGGGCCTGCTTAGGGACGATGCTTAAAATTGATCCTTATACATCCCTTCTGTCTAGGGGTAAGTTTGCAAGAATTAGCATTGAATTAGACTTAAACAAAACACTAATTCTGTCTTTTAAGGTCCTGGGGCAGGAGTTTAGGGTGGAATACGAGGGCCTGCATCTATTTTTTTTTAATGTGGTAAGTATGGTCATATGATAAAGAACTGCTTAGATAAGGTGGAGTGTCCTTATGATAAATCCAACCAAGAATCCAATTCTTGTGTGTCGATAATGGCTAATGATGAGGAGCCTTTTACATTAGTAGGCCAAGATGGACATGATAGTTATAACTCTTAGGATATTTTAAACTTAAATGAACCGAGCAAATTTGGCCCATGGATGTTAGCCAAGAAACCTTTGAGAAAAAAATTCTGGGACCCTAGAGCTTTAGGATCACCTGTCCATAATGAAAAAAGTAAGGAGTATCCCTTAGGTTCTAAATTTGAGATTTTGAGTACCCTTACTCAAGATGAAGGGCAAAAATTTTCCTCTTATCATAGTACTTTAGTTACTGAGCATAGTTTAGAAAATTTTGCAGGAAAAAGTAAATCTAAACCACTAACTATTAAGCCTATAGCTAAAAGCTCCTATGTTTCCAATCTTCCCAACTTTATTTCTAAGAAAAACAATAGAATAAATCTCAAACCTAAAAATAACAAATCATGGGAGGTTAGAAATGAGAACATAAAAGATACTGATCTACTTCCTAATTTAATTGAACAAAATAGATCTGGGCCTCATAATCAAAATCACAGGGAAATTCTTTTTCTAATGAAGATACTCGAACAAAATATCAAAAACAATATCTCTAATGGAAGTTCCATTCAAGACTTGCTAGGTATTACCTTGACAGACACTAGATAAATCTTGAAGATCATGTCCAAATCCCTATTGATAGACCCTCTGAGAGAACTCATGTTATGGATATAAATTTGAAAGATAATTTACCTATAGAAGAATCCTCTTTCCCTGCTAATTTTGATAAACTGAACTCTAGCCTGCTTTGCTCCCAGTATCTTAGCAATACTAATCAATAACCTCCTTTCCATTATAAATTGTCTTTTTTGAAATTATAGGGAGTTGAAGGTAGGACTTTTATTAGACTTATCAATGACTTGATCGCTATGTATAATCTGGATTTTTTAGCCCTTTTTAAACCTAGGGTTGGTTTGGATAGAGCTGATAATATCCTTAACAAAATTCATTTAAAAGGTGTTACTAAGGTGGATGTTGTAGGATTCGCAGGTGGAATCTGGTGCCTCTGAAACCATAATAGGATTAAATTGTTTGTTGTCT